CTCCTAATTGAGCGCTTACATCCAGTAATAGCTTTTTGCTGCCCTAGGCAGCATGACATTGTCTCATTTGGCCACGCACAGCTATTATTCTAGGAGGCAGCTAGTGAAGTACCCCAATCCATCTGCTTGCTTTTCATGGGCTGGTGCTTTCCTTGATGTTGACAGCTGTCTTAATATTCCTGGGCCACCTGCCACACAGTAAATACTGTTCTCTAAGATATATACAGAAGCTTATCCCTCTGTGGACTTTTCAGAACAAGCAGCTTAGCATTTCTAAGCTACACTTGCATCCTTGTTTAAATGGTTCAGGGATCAGCACTTTTAGTCTGTTCTCATACTTTTGAGGAGTTTAGTGCTTATGCTTTGGGAATCACAGTATGATGAACTTCAGGTTTTCTCATGTATCAAATAAGCTATTGAATTGCAGTCTTTTTATGGAAGTCATGGTGGCCACAGGAGATAGAGAAGAAGAGAGCATACTGACACTTATTTCCTCTGAACCTTCCTGGAACCTTCTAGATTATGATGGGAGTCCACCTATATAGAAAGCTTTCCCCTGTTATACCCTCTTTGCTCATCTGTTTGCCCCATCAAACTTGCTCCTTGAGGGAAAGTAACTAACTCATTCATTGTATCTCTAAGAATGAGCATGTGTCTCACATATAGTTGGCACTCAGGGACAGATCCAGGTTCGGAGGTATCTGAAGATTTTTATAACTTGAGGGGTCCTTTTTTAAAGAAAAATGATTTAAAAATAAGAATATTAGATAAATGAGTGCAAAAAGAAATCATGCAAATTACTAATTTTAAAAAAAGTTGACTAACAAAACAAACATCACAAAATCTAGAAAACCAACGTATTTTCCATTAACCCCTTGGCATACCTCTATAATACTTTTTTAATTTTTATAGTATACTCTTTGATAGACTTTCATATGACAATGATTTTTTAAAAAAATTTTTTTAAAGTAATCTCTATACCCAACATGGAGCTCAAACTTATGACCCAGAGATCAAGAATCATATGCTTTACCAACTAAGCCATCTAGGCGCCCTGATGATGATTTTCTAATATCATTTTCTATACATTTGGTTGAGTATATTATTGATGGAAGGGCTATGTAAACGTGTAACACTCACACATATACTCACTGTACTGCTGCTACGGGTTTGTGCCCTACAATGAAGAATTCTGATAAATTCTATGTTACATGATTTTCATTTAAAAAGTTTCATGCATTTACAATTATAAAAATTGTATACATTATACATTATTTTTTTTAAGATTTTATTTATTCGAGAGAGAGAGTGAATGAGAGAGCACAAGTGGTGGGGGGGGAAGAGGGAGAAGCAGACTCTCCCCTGAGCAGGGATCTCGATGACCCTGTGATCATGTCCTGAGCCAAAGGCAGACATTTAACCTACTGAGGCACCCAAGCGCCCCTATACTGCATTATTGAACATATTCCTACTATGAGAGAAATTACATCAGTTAGAAGTGATTCTTTCTCTTGTATTTTGTCTTTGGATTATTGGAATAATTTTCCAGTCCCCTTCTGATACATTTCAAATCTTGTTTCACTTCTACTACCTACATATTTTCAGTGTTAGAGGTCTTAGGATATGTTTGTGTCTTAATAGGACCTCTGGTCTTGCATCTTGGATATAATGCTTGGTGAGCTGTGCAATAGACAAATTTAAGCAATAACTTAACTAAATTTTGAAGATACAACCACATAAATATACCCCACTAAATATATTTTCTACTCAAATTCCCCAGAAGATGCCAAAATGTCCCCAATAAATTCAACACCAACTGACTTTAGGAGAAGTATGATCCTGGGGGCAGGGGTGTGGGAATCCAAATGGAAAGAAACTGTGGTCTTAATCAATTGCAGTTAAAACATTTACTTTTATAAATTTCACAAAAACACATGATCATGTGATCACATTCCCAAGTTCACATTGGAAGAGACCATGCCAGTCAGGGGCCTTGAGACTTCAGCTTTGTCGGCTTCACAGTAAATATGCTTCTACCATAGGCCTTCACTAAATGGCTGTGGAACAACTGAATGATTGAATGAAGACAACTTTGTTAAATTTTCATCTCTAACATCCTCACAACTCTAAAATTCAACATTTTTACAGACTTCCTAATGCAAGGAATACTAATAACTTAGTATTCAGAAGTTATGAGTCAGAATATAAGGATATAGGCTATCTAGAAACTGATACTTTCTAGAAAAGCAAATCAATGAAAATTTGGTGTCATTGTTTTATGGTTTTAATCTTTCATAGACAAAGTTTGCCTTAATGGAGGCAGGGCACCATTTGTATTTACAATTCAAAGTGCTGCTTTGTTCTACCACAGAATGGGGATATCATTAGATATCATTTCCTTCATGAAGTAGTTGCTTTGGAGAAAAAAAAATCTATCATAGATGTGAGCTGGCCCAACTGTTCACTTTAGGGGCCTTTAATAACATCTATAATATCTTATAGATTTAACCAAGCTGTTCATCAATAGAAGAGATTCTAGCTGGATGAGCAGCAGCATTATTTCCATTACTTATACTATTCTCACCAACACTGTAGAAAATTTTTATGACAGACGTTACACATTATGATTCTGATGCCTTCTCACTTATGCAGAATATTGACTATTGAAGAAATATGACAGTATTTTCCTTGAGAGCTATTTTTCAGAGAAATTATTCTTAGAAAACATTATTATTAGTTAAAACCATAATTCAGTACTAAATCTTGCTGGGTCCCACCTACTTTTATCCTCAGAAAGACTTCCCAAACAATCCACCCGCTGGGTAGGCATTAGGGTATAGGGCCCACTTTTCACAGTAGAAATGGGGGACACATCTGGTAGTCCCTTAACTTTGGGGAGATAAATTATTCTCTGGGCCTTCTAGCTGGAGGGAACAGTTTGCTTTGTTTTCTCTTTGTTCTCATGTTCTCTGGGCTTTCTAGTAAGTTGGCATTTAATGGAGATTGTCCCCTAAAATAATAAGGCAAGAATTGGGAACTTTACTTGTCCTATGTAGTATTCTAGCTTTTAACTATTTTCTCAGACTTACAGAGGAGGAAGTATTTCCAAATGAGAAAGCACTGGTAAGTCTTGAATCCAAGCTGAGGGAAGCTGGGCTGATTTAGCTTTGGTGGGTTGAATTGAAGCCAGAACAAATTAGGATGAGTACCTTGAGCTCTGCTGCAGTTAATAGGGGCAGGAGTACTTCTAGGAGGCAGCTGTGGGATGGCAGGGAAGCTCAACAGTCACCAGCTGATGCTGAAATGACTGGGGCTTATAGATGTCTAATTTACTCATAAGCAACCTTCTTTTCTCCAGCACCCCAAAGTTAGAGGAGGGATGACCCCCAAGGCACCTTCCTTCCCTCCCCCCAAGCCAAAACTGCCCTGGGCATTTCATTTACTTGTATATAATTTTTATATAAGTAAATGTCTGATATCTCTGTAAATATCTCTGATTTCTACCTGGTCTCAGGAGCAATTTAATTTTTTTTAAAAGATTTTATTTATTTATTCATGGGGGGGGAAGAGGGGGGGAGAGAGGGAGAGAGGGAGAGAGGGAGAGAGGGAGAGAGGGAGAG